AGTTGGGCGTCTACGCAGTCCTTCATCCTGTTTCACAATACCCTGTTGAAGACTTTTCCCGGTATTGAGAGAAGAGTGATGCCCCTGTAGTTATCACAGTTGCTGAGATCGCCTTTCTTCGGTATTTTGATCAGGAGTCCTTCTTTCCAGTCTTTTGGTACTTGTTCCTCATCCCAAATCTTATTGAAGAGAATGTGGAGTATTCTTGCAGTTGCCGCTACGTCTGCTTTTAGTGCCTCTGCTGGGATGTTGTCCGGTCCTGCTGCTTTGCCACTCTTGGTTTGTCTGGTGGCCATGCTGATTTCTTCAATTATTGGTGGGCCAACATTGATTGGGAGGTCCGTGGGTGCTGCTTCGATGCTGGGTGGGTTCAGTGGAGCTGGTCGATTCAAGAGTTCTTTGAAGTGTTCTACCCACCTGTTTTGTTGTTCTTCAATGTTGGTGACTACCTCGCCTTCCTTGCTTTTCACTGGTCGTTCTGGTTTGCGGCGATTTCCAGAGAGTTTCTTTGTCGTGCCATACAATTGTCTCATGTTTCCTTCTCTTGAAGCCTTTCCCGCCGCCGTTGCTAAATCTTCCACATATTTACGTTTGTCGGTTCTGATGCTCCTCTTCACTTGTTTGTTTACTTCTGTGTATTCAGCTTGTGCCTTGGCTCTTCCTGCTCTTGTTCGACTGGTATTGATTGCTGCCTTCTTGTTCCTTCTTTCTTGAATCTTATCCAGTGTATCAACAGTGATCCATTCCTTGTGATGGTGCTTCTTGTGACCCAGGACCTCATGACATGTTGAAGTGATTGCTTCTTTGATCCCCTTCCAGTTGCTCTCCACAGTAGTTCCTTCTCCATTGAGTAGATCATGAAAGGCCTGGAACTTGTTGCTGAGGTCTATCTTGAATTTGTTGAGTTTGTTAGTATCCTGAAGAAAGGCCGTATTGAACTTTTGTAATATTGTCCGCCCCATTGTCCAGTGCTTCTTGAGTTTCAATTTCATCTTGGCGACCAGCAAGTGATGATCTGATGTTATATCAGCTTCTCTCTTGGTTCTCACGTCCTCTATAGTCCTCCTGAACGTTTTGTTGATGCAAATATGGTCGATTTGGTTTTGCGTGGTGTGATCCGGTGAAGTCCATGTGGTTTTGTGTATGCCTTTATGTATTACAGTGTATAAAAACGTTTTCAAAAGGAGCACATCAAACCAAGTGCTCTCTGCTCTTCTAAATATTGCTAATGATCATAGTATCAGAAAGCGGACATTTTGTTAAGTATTACCGGAACATTACATTAATAATTTTAACTTTCCGTAATTTCACTTAGCTGATCTATAAAGTGGATAAAGCTTCTATTTCTTGGCCACAAATCTATTGTCGATGAAACCAGTATGCTCACACTGTTTGTATTTCGAACTATTTTATTTGTTCCTTATTGGAAGGGCATTAAATCTTTACCTTTACTGTTCGAGCATCAACACCTCTTTTCGTGACTATGTTTAAATTTTACACATAAAATATGCAGTAAGAACGACTACATAAGATGCTAGTGGTATTAAACAACTAGTTATTCATTTTCGCAGCTGTTATCCTATTACTCCATGTAATTCAATAATGCTCCTTAAAACATTGCTACCGTAGCAATTTTGTTAAACAATCGTCCCAGTGAATATGAACCAAGAACAGTACAAGTTTCTGCGAAATAGTCGCCAACTAATACAATAAAGTCTGATTTCTAATCGTAACTAAATAATTCCTAGGGTTATCAGAATAACAAATTTCAGAAGTTTGCTAAAGCTTCCAACCTAAGCTAAATTGAAACTTATCCTTGTTTTAAGGAACGAAGCGTTTCAATAGTGAGAAAGCTGGCGATCGTGAAGTACAGCGAACAATGTTGGAACTTCTCAATCAACTGGATGGTTTCCAACCAAACCATGACATCAAGGTGATTGCGGCTACAAATAGAGTAGATATATTAGACCCAGCGCTGTTACGAAGTGGTAGAGTTGATCGGAAAATAGAATTTCCTGCACCAAACGAAGAAGCACGTGCCCGCATTATGCAGATTCACTCTCGGAAGATGAATGTACAGTAAGTTATCTAATCTATTCTCACCAAAACATCACTTCAGAAAAGATGTCAATTTTGAGGAGCTAGCTCGCTGTACAGATGACTTTAATGGAGCTCAGTGCAAAGCTGTATGTGTAGAAGCAGTAAGTTGTATCCATTATCATTTTTGTCGTATTTGGTGACTAACATCCTAATTTTAGCCTACTTTAGTTGTTTAGTTTTCATTAAAGATTTAGACTAATTAAAGAATTTAAAAGTCGTCCAATTTCGTTATGCAAAAGCTTGCTGAATAAATTGTTTTTATGGTTTGATTCATTTTTAGTTGTGCTCTTTGTCTTAGATAGCTAGTAATATGAAAGCTTCTATATGCGCGTTGTATTTAGCCCAGAGTGTGATCTGTGCAGTGCCGAACAAATCTAAGTTTATTTGAGGGTCTCTTGTTTAGACGTTAAACAACATCAAGTCGTAGATTAGATCAGGATAACAAACTTCGGTGAAACTAGCTACAGTCAGAATCTCGAATAAACTAGTGAGAGGAATCGGGTAAGTGTGGAGAGCAGTGAAACATACAATATTCAAATGAGTTAAGCCGTAAAAGCATCTGCGAAACGATAACATTCTAGATTAGTCTACCTAGTCCCTGTAACTGCCATCTTCAAGCATCACGTGAAAGCTTATAGTGGCATGCACGGATGTGATTGGCTTACCAAAATAATAAGCAGATTTGTACTAGCTGATTTAAGTGGATATACTTTAAAGTAGTTTAAAGGATCGTTGGGCGGCGGCTTATTGGTTAGGATGTTTATATTTCGGTCACTAACGTCCAGATTTGGACCTCGCCCCACCTACTTCGGTTTAAGCAGCGGGGCAGTATCAGTGTGATTCATTCCCAAGTGCTTGATGAATAAGCCAACTCATATTTATTTGTGAAAGAAAAAAACATAAGAAGAGATTAAATAGGTAAAATCAGAGTAACAGCCTAATCCATTTTCATATGGTAGTCAGCCGTAATTCAGTAATGAGTAAAGTAAATGGGGGCTTCCTATCAAACTACTGAGTAGATGTGAAGTGTTTATTTTACTAGTTGCAGGGTCAAGGAATTCCTGGGAGTTACAATTGCTGTAAAATTAGATGAAGAAGCTTTCAGATTAAAGGTGTCTAATCGTAGGTCCCATGAGAAAAAGCCAACTGAGTAAATAGAATATTGCAACTAATTAACAGAATTTAAGATTCCAAAGCAAGCAGTTGCGTACGCACCACTAATTGTCTAAATGATTAATTATCGAGAGTCTTGAGCCATTAACTCTTTACCATCTTACAAAACCTAATTTTTCTTTATGCCTTAGTCTGGAGATTATATATACACCTAACGATCTGCCTTTATTTTAGCTGGAAATCCTTATAACGATCTGCAAAATGCTAGTAACTCGTCAGTATATTTTAACTCTGACTGGCTCAAGTCTACTCATCGGTTTATAGACACTCAGGCTAACCTTTTACAAGATATTTGCATGTCGCTGAGAAGATGAGTTAGTCATTGCTTATATTCTGAAACTGTTCTTATTTTTTCAGGGTATGATTGCGTTGCGTCGAAGTGCATCGGAAGTAACACATGAAGATTACATGGATGCCATTTTGGAAGTTCAAGCTAAGAAGCGCACTAATCTAAATTACTATGCCTAACTACCATTCGATTATTGACAGCGTGCTTTTTTATATTAAAATCACAGATGGTTTTAAAGTATACTGACTGGTGTACCCTCATCACAGTACTTTGTGTTACGAGCAGCTGTTCGTGATCCTCCGTTATTTGTTAAAATATACCTTGTATTTATTTCACTTCAGGACGATGTGGTGTTCTATTTATCAACCTGATTGATGCTGTTCAATTGTTTGTCTTTGTTTTATCATCACTGTCAGTGTGATAACTAATTTGTTTTTCCCTTTATGATATCAACGCCATCATCTTGTCTTTACGTATTCTTAGGACAGTAATTTTAACTGATTTGGAGTTGTGCCATCATGTTTTAGATCGAACCAGAGGCTCGTACGCGTTCTAACTACTTCGTTAACCTAGTAATATAACTAATTGTTACGCAGCGATGTATCGAGTTAAGGTTCCCAATGACACCTTCAATCAAGCAGTTAAATATGCCAAAACGATTAAAATATGACAAAAGGTGTGACTTATATTTCAATTTACTGTTATATGAAGCACTCATGAATATATTGGTGTTTACATATAACATAACAGAAACATCATTCAAGGGTTCACAATTGTCTGCTAAAATTTAGGATTCAAATTCGAGTTACATGCAAAACGAAAGGCATTTAGTTTATTGGTAAAATAAGTTCTAGCATAAAACTGTTTTGAAGCATCTTTCTTCTAAGTAAATGTACAGTACATATATTTACAGAAAAATCTTACTGTTTAACAGTCTCGTTTGATATTTTGGAGATTTCGGAGACCCTTAAAACAATGTTAGAAATAACCAGATAACTTACTTCTAGAAACAACTTTATCTGAGCTTTTATAGAATTAGCTCTTTTCTTGTACATAGCGGCACGGCCGTTCAGGATAGAAATGCGCGAATCAATGATATTTAAGGCTTCAGCATGACTGCACTCAAGATAAAATCCTAGGCCAATGTCAACTGCAATAGGTTCAACAGAATAACTATACATTAAATAATGTTATGGTCTTACATCAATCCATTTACATAAATATTGCTTCCGACATTAACTTTGGTTTTTAAGTTATTTTGAGGGACATCGATATCCTTCATTTTTTCAATAAGATTTTTTAGTTCCAAATATTCCGAAATTTGACCATACACTAAGTCCCCAGCATCTAAAGTTTTTCTGGATTTTAGATATGTTTAAAGAACACCCAAGATACTTGAGGTCCGTTTTCAAAGTCTCATTAACGTGCTCTTCCAGTTTTAGTATCCTTTGGTCCATTCTTCATGAGAGTCCCACAAGGATCGGATTAATGGTAGCTAGGTGATAATTCAGTTTTATAAGGTTCAAAGAACTACATTGGATGGTTTGGGAGGTATCACATAAAATTTAGAGCAAAACAATAATTGTGACGTGGATGAGTCAAAAAATTCAGATACTAGTTTATGTCCACCATGCGATTAGCTTTGCCCCCTTTATTTACTCTTGCTGTTCTTCAATTAAAAAAAGTACGAATTGACAATAAAAACGATACTGAAAGTACTTTATTTCATCTAATGAGTGTTGCGATAATCGAGTGACACCTGAAGTATCAGAGGATGATGGAGTGTACAGGTCAGTCGTGATAATTTTGTGATTTTCTTAAACAAACTTGTAGATTTTTATGATGACTAAATATGTTGTTCTTGCTAAAAATTCTTGAACAACACACGTATAATAAGTTGTTTTCGATGTTTTAAAAGTTATAATCTTTTATTTCTGACTCCGATACCTAGAAATTTCCTACGCGACAATGCTTTAGTATGACTAAAAGAAACGGACGCCAGAGTGGCAAGCTAATAATAGTGTCACTACCAAGACACGAAAATTGACAGTCTAACTGAACTCACAACGGGATTGTAAAAGTAACAGGTTATAGAGGAAAGTTAGACAGATATACTTGAGATTAGTACAGCGGATTCAAATGCAAAATGAAATTGGATAGATGACTACGTTTACGACAGACCTATGATAATTAAGGCGAAATTATAATGCATATATTACGCATGGAGGTCTAAGTGAAGTGAGTAGTGATGTCCAAAACAATAGGGGGAGATTTGTATCTCGACATTTCAGCTTGGAGAACAAAACTGAAGTGCTACAAACACTGATTAACAAACTTGACACCAACTACCACATAATATGGTTCAAGCTTGCAGTCAGTCACAAACAACATACAATCTGGGACAAAAGTGTATCATTTAAACAACAGCAACGTAAGGGAATAGGTTGATACAGTTTAATTCGAAGTAAAAATAACTGAAAAGTGATGTGATGATGAAATTAAGAAACAAGTCACATGAAACCAAACAGAAACCAAAGGTCCATGGGATGATAAGGAATGAATATATCTCTATCACCGAGTCGGATTTCGGACCATAAAGTGTGGTCTGTTACCTTAGGCTTCGACTAGCTCACAAGTTTCGACGTGACATAGTTGGCTTCAGAGTTCATGGTCTCATTTATTCGTCTAATATCTTTAGCTAATAATGTCTAACCTATTGGTGATTTTCTCATATATGAGCAACAACTTGAAGACATCTATGACCTACATTTCCAAGAGCGACATCCTATGCCACGTTCTGAAATGCGACAAAGCCCAGTATGGTCATATTTTTTCTTCAAATTCAACAAATGATGAGTTGTCAGTTTTCCTTATTAGAAACTTTTTGCAAGTAACAATAACAGATTAGTTCGTGTTAACCACAGCTGGTGACCAAATTCACTGAAAACTGTGAATATGATCGAATCTATTATTTTGTGTACATTTTAACAATATATTGTTACTTAATAATGTGATGATTTAGAATAGGAAAATCTTTTCCATAAAAACTAATACCTAAAATGAATATGTACTTGAAAATGAAACTAAAGAAGATGAAAAGGCAAATTCTTGCAAGTTCACCTGATTTCCTCTGTTTTTACATGCGTATGTAAAGACACAATATCTGTAGTACTACAGATATAGTGTCCTTAATCTTTGTCCATGCTAATCATGGGTTTTTTAAAATCCAGGTAGTCATTTAAAACAGAAAAGGCGGCAAAAAAAGCCTAGCTTACTCAGCAATATACCTTAAGGGAACTTTCAAGGGCCATTTCGTTAACACTTGAGTGCTAATTATTTCAAACGAACAAGTAAAAATGCTTAATACTGGTGACCATGAATGAAATCACACACAAATAAAGTGTTTTGAGACCATTACAAAAGTGATGGACGTTTATGCAATGCAGATTGGTGGACAAGGATATACCAAAATTTTCAGACGCCTTGTAACGCGACAGTTGAAAAGTTGCCCAATACTCAATATCCTTGTCACGACCTTGTATTGAGCGACTGACTTCGAAATAGCTTTTTCTCTCAATGTCCTTCTAGGTGTTTCTTTATGTTCAGAATAATAAGACATCTTTAGTGTAAACGTGGTTTGTAGCAGTTTTACAAGAGTTACTAACCTAAGAGGTAACACCCAAAGACTGGAGACACAACATAGCAGAACGGACTGTTGACACAACTTCTACTCCCTAAGAGTTGTCAAATGCTGGAATTCGCTGCCGAGCGAGCTAGTCCAAGCAACTGCCAGGAGTCCTTTAAGAGGGAACTTGATCTATTCTAAAGGACTAAGGATAGTATCACACTATGATTTACTAATTTCTTTTCCTCTTTTATTGTTAACATACCTAGGTTCCTGCCTGAAGGATTCGGTGATCCCCTGCTACTAGACACGGAAGCCTGTTAAGCGAAAGCTTGTTCTATTCCGTCCACAACCATTTGAACCATTTGAATCTATGAAACGACTTAGTCTTTACGTCATTCAAAAAGAGCAGTGATTTTGTGCTTGATGTGATCCTTGCTTTTGTGAACTTGTTGCATCAAAGCATTGTTGGTCTACTTTATATTAAAGTAATTTAATTAAGGTTTGAAATCTTGCTAAATTTTGTCTTGTGGTACCCTCTTACTCATTGACTGACACTTGTATTCATACTGTGATCATATCGTGTTTTAAACCTTAATCTGATTACAATGGTTGGTGGTACTTATAAATGTGGACAATCAAACTGTTTTTTCCCTTTGGAGGAAGGAATGCAATGTGATGAGTGTGAAGAGTGATTCCATAAGATGTGTACTCGTTTAAGTCCCACTGCATACAAAAGTTGCTCGAAGCCTAACTTGCATTGGCTTTTCAGGTTTTGCTATGCAAATAGGACGTTACTAATACAGGAGGCCATAAACCTATTGGCTTTGGCCTGTAAGAAGAACGATGGCGGTTGCGCTGATAACACAAGCACTGACAGAGAAGAATGTGTCAGTGTAGGACGTGCTGTTACGAGATGCCTCAAACACCCGACTGCTATTGACAGAAAAATGAAATCTCTGTTAACATTATCGAGGAGGGTAGTTCCACCTGACAATGACATCGGTAATCATGCACCTTAGGTGGGAATTCAAGACCCAGATAAAAACGTCACTGTTCCAAATAGTTCCGGTGTCCTGAGTGACGAAAAATGATCTACAGTATGGAGAAAAAGAAACGAGAAGAAAAAGCTGTCAACAGTACGCAGCTGGTTAGCAAGTCATTGGTGGACTCCCATTGCGACTCACAAAATGCACTACCAAAGTCTGATAGCAAGGAAGAATTTCAACCAGGCGTGACTGAGAAGGAGAATCTAATCTCATCGAATATTACTCTGAGTAAATTTCTGGAGTCAAGCGATCCTGATCCCAAAGTCAGACACGCGCATGATTTAAAGAAGCTGGGAGAATATACACTTTATATCTTACCAGATAACTCTCAAGGAGATCAGGTAAAAAAAATTGGTAAGAATAGGTAAGAGGACCGAGAACAACGTTGAACCCCGACCATATGGACTCCTTAAGGTAATCCTGGGATCGGAGAGTCAACGTGATCTCCTGTTAAGTAACGCTCTCAGTCACGATAATTCCGACTTCAGAGTTAGTCCTGATGTGTCTCTTGAAGATAGAATGAAAAGGAAGAAGGCACTAGCTGAACTAGAAACCTGTTAACAAAACGGTAATGAAAATCTCTGGTTAGTGGGTTTTCAGATAGTCAGGTCTTGGAAGCGAATACTACCAAGGCATGTGTGGATAGACCAAGGTTTTTCTCCGTTGGAATTGGTAATCGCTCATGAGACTGAGGATATTTTCGAATTAAATATTCTTCCACCGTCAGTGAATAGCGATCAGGCTGTTTTGTCATTCATGTTTAGAACTAGGGACATAATATACGATCAGGTTACACCCCGCCCAAATGTGTGGAGAGCCAAAATATGAGCCATTCAGGAGTGCGCTGCTAAGACAGTTCGGTTTGTAGATACTAGCTTATCAGTTGAAGAAGCATGGTCTGTATTTAAAGGTAAGTTTGGTTTAGTTACGTCCTCGATCATACCATACCTGGTACCGCGAAGATCGAATAACAGTCCACCATGGATAACTAAAACAGTCAGGAAACGTCTTAGAAAAAGGAAGAGGCACTGGAAAATGTTCATCTCCACTTGCTTAGAACAATACAGATCCAGTTATTGTGAGATTAGGAATGCCTATAAGGCGTTATTAAGTAAGACTAGACGATCATATGAAAAACGAATGGTTAGAGATTGTAGATATGGTCCAAAACAGTTATTCTCGTATATAAAAAAGCGAACTCAGAGAAGCGATGAAATTCCATCACTTTGGATACAAGGAAATCCGTAAATCTTGGAAGGAAATGATACCGGAAATGCTGAAGCTTTATCGGAATATTTCGGTATATTGTTTTCTATCGGTAATAAGGAACGACCAACGATCCATTGTGATTTTGGCGGCTCGTTGATGGACCATGCAGTCATTGAGAAAGGTACTGTTTTAAGGCTACTTCAGCATACCAAACCTGATAAGTTCAGTGGTCTGATAATATTCATCCTAGGATTATGAAAGCCATATCATATGCAGTCGCTGAACCTTTAGCGATACTATTTGACATGTCTCTGAAGCAGTCCAGACTGCAAAGAGGCTGGAAAGACGCTATGATACGTCCAGTGTATACGGCTGGGAATAGGTATTTATTTAGTAACTATAGACCCACTAGCTTGACTAGTGCGGTTGTGAAACTGATGGAAAAAGTCATTTGGATATCTGTCGTGAACCACGTTAAAGGGCAAATCTTTTCTCCAGGGAACAGCATGGTTTTCGGAGAGGCCTATCAGGCTTGACAAATCTTCTCATTGCAAGAGATTGGGCTGCGGCAAAAGATTGGAATATTCTTGTCGATATGATCGTCACAGATCTAAGTAAGGCCTTTGACAAGGTCTCTCATTCTGGTCTTAAATTCGACCTGGAACGTTTGGAATCCATTGTACAGTTGTAGATTGGATAAGTAATTTTCTGCATGACAGGAGATAAAGGGTAAGGATTAACGGAGATCTTCCTCGTGGGTACCTGTAAAAAGTGGAGTTCCCCAAGGTACAATCCTCGGTTCTCTTCTCTTTTTACTTTATGTACATGAATCGCTAACTGTAGTAACATCATCCGTTCTACTCTTCACTGGCAACATAAAAATTTGGAGACCCATACACATTATGTCGGATAGAATAGTATTACAGGATGATCTTAGCTGAATGGTGGCATGGTTGGACAGGTGGTCAGTAGAAGTAAATCCTAATAAGAGTGTGATGGTGCAAGTAAATAACTATGATGATTCGCATCGCTACACAATATGTGGATTTGTGCTACCCAAAGTAAGAAACCATAAGGATTTAGGAGTTATATTAAGCAGTGATCTCAAAACCACTACTCACTCCAAGGCTGCTTCTGTGAAAGACTATAGGGTGTTATGATCTACTCGTGGGTCTTTCCGGTATTTAGATGACGAAACGTTCAAATTACTATACACGATTTACGTGCGACCACATTTGGAATATGGGCTTCAAGCAGATATTCTGGAAAGAGTCCAACGACGAGGTACTAATATGGTACAAGGTCTATCTGGCCTATCTTATGAAGACAGACTGAGACACCTTAACTTATCTCCGTTATCCTACCGTAGAATACGGGGTGATCAAATATTGGCTTGTCGTATACTGAACGACGACCTCGATATTCACATGTCTAACCTTTTACTTCCGTCTAGAACTGATCATTTGAGAGGACTTCCGAAGAAGGTTCAAAAAACGAGATCAAGTCGTTTAAGTCTGGAGTTTCGTTTCTAGCACCGAGTAGTGAACTACTAGAATTCTCTATCAAAGGAGGTAATATCAGAATCTTCTGTTGATATATTCAAAACGAGATTGGACCTCTAAAGTGTTACGAACTGCAGGGATTAATATAGGTCGATAGACCTCCCGTCTTTATTACTGAGGACTGAAATTAGCAACAGGGTTTCAAGGTGCCCGCGCACTTGTAGCGTATTACCGAGCTATCACTAGAATCGTTATTTATCCTGTGTACAGTGATTTTTGGCTTTAAACGTCAACGTTTTAGTATATGAATATGTTCACATTTTTATCTCACGCACAAATTCTCTTTCCGTAGTCGGATATATGTTTGATACTTCTACAGAAATGAAGTGACATTTCATGCGTAAGGCTTCGAAATACTGTCGTTCGAGTCTCACTTTATGAAATGAACCACACTCAATCAACTCAGATGTAGGGGATAATGAAGTGTAAAATATACTTGCGTTTTTGGCAGAAGTGTTGTAGCGTATAAAATCTAGTCTAGCTACATATTGGTGTCGTGTATGGCTTATAGAAACGTGATTCTTTGTCGAAACGTGATTGAATACCTCCAATTCATGACGTTTTTTTTAAAACTAATAGGATCAGCTTGAATTTTAAAGTTGTATGGGCTATTTATTTGTGGGAAATTATTAACCACTACCACTGATTTTATCACTTTTTAAGGATCAAGGATCAAGGATCGAGACGGCGCGCTTTTGAAGGTTGTAACTTTTTTTCACGTGGTATTATTTTATTTTCCTATTAGTTTTTCTCTTTAATTTAACACTTAATAGCGATAAATAATTCGTCACTGATAGGGTTCTATCAATTTGACACCTTATTTAGGAACTCAACGTCATAAATTAATCTTGCTAATTCTCACGCTATCTCTATCACCAATTAACGTTAATACATTTACTCTTAACTAATACTGGGTCTGATCCTACCATAAAACTTCACACGTTCACTAAGTTAAATTACAACTATCGCTGTCCACCTAATTAAACTTTGTATTTACATTACTTCTGATAATGACCAGGCCATCTAAAAAACATATAATCTCTCCCGATGCCTATAGCACCTGCAAAAGATCTAAATCAGTCACTAAAGCGAATAATGTGAAACCTTATAAACACACTGATCAGTCTGCATCCTACTCTGATCTTCCCTCAGCCACACTAAACGTGCACCGTTT